TTAATTTATTACCAATCAAATCAGAGTAGGATAATGAGAAATAAAACCAGGTCTTAAAACACCTTTCCTTCACCCCTCCCTTCTTCCTGGGGTTAACTTCACTCCTGATTTTCTCTACCTCCTCCCTCTGAGTGGCACAGCAGGACGGGGATGGGGGTTGCAGTCAGTCCATCACACGTTGTCTCTGCCCCTCCTTCCTCCTCAGGGGAGGACTCCTCACACTCTGCCCCTGCTCCAGCGTGGGGTCCCTCCCAAGGGAGACAGTCCTCCACCAACTTCTCCAACATGGGTCCTTCCCACGGGCTGCAGTTCTTCACGAACTGCTCCAGCATGGGTCCCTTACACTGGGTGCAGTCCTTCAGGAGCAGACTGCTCCAGCATGGGGTCCTCCATGAGCTGCAGGCGGATATCTGCTCCGGCACCTGGAGGCCTGGAGCACCTCCTCCCCCTCCCTCTTTACTGATCTTGGTGTCTGCATAGTCATTCCTCTCACATATTCTCACTCCTCTCTCCAGCTGCAATTGCTGCTTTTTTTTTTCCCCTTCTTAAACCTGTTCATCACAGAGGTGTTACCACCATCACTGATTGCCTGGCCAGTGCCGGATCCATCTTGGAGCCGGCTGGCATTGGCTCTATCAGACATAGACGAAGCTTCTAGCAGCTTCTCACAGAAGCCACCCCTGTAGCCCCCCTGCTACCAAAACCTTGCCACACAAACCCATTACACAGTAATCTCGTTTCTTTTTGTTGGTGTTCTCTTTTTCCCTATAGCTAAAAGTTCGCGTGAAGAACTCTTTGTCTTGCTCATTATAATCCTCCCCCATCCTCTGTTAGGAAAATTTTGAGGACAATTAATACTGGAACAGTTTGTCAAGAGAGACTATTTGGGTCTTGCCTCTATTAACCAAAGTGCACACACAGCCCAGAGATGTTCTGGTGATTTTATTCTGACAGCTATGCTCAATTCTTCACAGGATGTGGCTGGCCACTGCGGAAGACATTGTAATGAGGAGATAGTGATTTCAGGCGCAAACTAGGCAGAGGTTAACCACAGGCCTTGGTGGCAGAGACCTGTACGTTAATACGGGCGACAACTATATCACCTATGTGCATACTGCTGCATTAGTGGGCACTGCCTTTATCAATGCCACCTCTATGTACTGCTTGTGAGAGCTCGCTCCTGTGCAGATGTGTAAGAGCATAACGCTCTCGGTAAACCTCGGGGTACTGTCTAGAAAGCTCAATATTGCACAGGTTTGTTCACTTGGAAAAATACTATAAATACTATAAAAACAGATATCCCATGACCAATTACTAAATTAGTTTTAAGTATTTTCTCATGAACTGTCTTAACATTATTCTCTTCCACTTGTAGTTCATTTGTAATGTATTTCTTTGTCTTTCTTCTGTCTTAACAAGTCATTTCCTTACAAAAACTCCTTATAAAAAGAGACCTTTAGTATAGGTTGGACTTACTCTGTGTTCCAGGGAAATAAAAAATTATTTGCAGAATAACCAGTCTTCTCACACTGTACTTCTGCTTCCTCTAATACCCAACATTAAAAATAAGTACTGTTCTATACTGCCCTATTTATTTAACTTATCACTAGGTGCTGCTATTGGCTTGTCATCAGTCTTGTCCAAAATCTTTATTTGGCTGAATTTAATAACCTTTTTTTCTTGTTGCCTCTTTCAAATGCCAATCGTCTCATGTAATAGATAATTTGTCTCTTCTAAAACAGCCAAATTATCAACATAGCCAAAAATATAAATCAGCCTATTTCCATTCGCACTTGTAACTTTGTAATAGTGATAGTAACTACAGAGCATTTGAGACAGTTGTCTCTCTACTGCAGCCTCATCTGACTGCCAGACGGTGCAGATATTTAAGTCCCTGTGGGTATCTATCTTTCGTAACCCACAAACATGTCTGCACCATCCCAGCGATTCCACCAATGCACCACCATAAAAGAAAAGTAGAAAGCACTTCAATGAACTTCTTAGTGATGGGCTGGACAAAAGCAAATAGCAGATGGACATTTTTGAGCTAGCTGAGCTGTTTGTGGAAGAATTATATTGTGAAGACATTCAAAAGGCAGCCAGAATCCTAGGAGCAACCAACAACCAGTTGCTGACAATGTTTCCAGGGAATGATTTAAAACAGGAGATGATAAGCTAAATCAAAACCTTTGCTAATTGGTTGCATTGGAGAGCTGAACACATTTCCAAATGAGAAACAGAAAGCAGTCACATGATCAACTGTTATAAACAAGTGGATGGTGCCTTCATCCCCATGACAATCCATCTGTCTTTGGTACGTTTATAGACATTTTCTAATTTTACAAAGTAAACCTGAAAATAAAAATGACGTTAACAGAAAAACGAGTACAGTGTGTATCTAAAATTTTTGTTTCATCCACCACTTTAAACTGTGCATCACATATCTAGTATTTGGAATAATTAAAATACAGTGCACTGTATTACACTATCTCTGCTAAACAGGTGTGCCACTAGGAAATGTCCTGAATAAATGGATTTTGGCATACCAATATCTGTGTAGGACATACGATTGAGGATGCTTCATTTAGGACATTTCAGAAATGAGGCTGCTCACATCACACTGCTTAAGCAACAACAAATTAAATGCAACTACCCCACATTATTATACATAACATTATCAATACTTTAACTCCCCTCTCTATTTTTCCTACTTATTATGGGAAAAAGAAGTCTACTTTTACTGATGTCTAACGTGCACTATTTAAATAATGTCTCTACAGAATGCAGACTGTTGCCCAGGGCTATTTTATTTCACTGCTTAAAGCTAAAAATAAAAGCATTTATGTCACCCTTTAGGTTTTGAAATCCCCATTAAGCATACTTTTTAGTATGAGAATCATGCATGAAAAGAGCCATTATTTTTTACTTTCTCTCCATTTTAAACTTTTGGTAGGATTTGTTAATGTGAATATTATTTGAAAGAAAATATGGATTTATAACATTTCAGACTGCAAGAAGTCAAAACATCTCTCTCAACAATATTTAAGTACTTTTAACAGCAGTTATTTGTTCTCCCTGTCTGGCATGTAGATTTGAAATCTCCCTATCATGTCACTTTGCTTTTAACCCTTTTTTCCATTCTTCCAGTCTTTCTGTGTAATTAAGTTTTTTCTTGACTCTTAATTAATCTCCTTTCCAGTCTTTCAGACCAGGTTATTCTTCAGACAAGGGTAAAAAAAAATCAATTATGTTCTAGACTGAGCTTTTTGCTGACTTAACATAATGACACTGTAATCATTGCTAACCCACTTGTTACCTATCTGAGCATTTTTTAATTCATCTGCTTTACCTTTTTGCCCACCCTGGCACACTGAGACAGAATCTTCCTCTACATGTCCCGTAGCAATGACAAGGAGCTGTTTGAGTCCCCACCCACTCCGCTCTGTAACTCAACCTTTTCAATCATGTTATTTTTTTCACCTAGCTAAGATCCCTCTTCCATGCTAGCATTTGTCAAATTATTCACTTCATCTTTAAATTCTGTCATGTCACTAATATATATGATGTATACAAATAATGAATACTACTAACATTAAATTAATGTGACTCCCCTGTCTAATCAATGTAGCAGAAAATTATTATTTTATTTATACCTTTCATTACACATTTCTGAGATGATTCCTAAATGTTCAGCACACTCCATGGAGCTTACTAGTTTTCTTAATTGCCCTCAGTAAAGAACTTTGTCAAAAACCTTTTGAAAGTCCAAATAAATTAGATCAAGCATTTCTTCCTTATCCATTATTTTGATGGCATGTTCAAAGAGTTCTAACAGATCAGAGAAGGTTTTTTTTCAGCAAAGCTACCCTGGCTTCTTTTAGCAAAATTTAATCTAGAGTTTTGGTCATAATTCTCTTATTGATGACATATTCAATCCATTTAGCTACTACTGAACTCAGATTTACAGGCCAGTAGGATAATTCTAGTTTGTTGAAAAAAAGCAACAAAACCAAAACAATAGCCAAATTTTAAAATTCTGTTTTTCAATAGGCAATTAAGTGCTAATAAAATTTGCATCAGCTTAGCCCCTTCAGTTCTTATAAACCTTGTTTGTAGCCAGTCAGCCATCTGATTTTGTTTGCTTTTTAGACTTTAAATTTCTCTTATTATTCCCTTTAATTGCCTCAATTTAACATAATATCTCATTTTTACTACTTTAAAAGTATAGATATTTCATTGCATTTTCTGTAGGAGAATCCATGCAAATAAATCTTTCAACTTCTCTGTAACAATTCCTTCTAAATCTACTCTTTAAAATACAGCAGGTCTGCTGATACTTTCATGAGGTTTTCTGTTTCTGATGTAGCTGAAAAAAAACTTTGCAGTTTCTTTCATCTTCAGCTATAAAGTCTTCAGACTGCCTCATAGACTAAACATTTTCCATCTTCCATTTTTCCTGCCACATTTTGTTTTCTGTTTTCAGTTACAATTTACCTGGAAGAGGCTACATTTGGGGTCAAATAAACACATCCCTTGCAATTTTTCCCACTGATTTTTAAATATTTTTCTTAATAACCTGAGGCTGACTCACCATTTGAAATCCCATTCATGTGTTAATTCAAAGAATTACTATAATTAATTTCAAGGTCACAGAAGGACACTCATATATCTACTTACCTTAGTTACAAGGCCTGACAATGGGACATCTAAATATTATCACATATAGCAAAAGTTTTGCAACTCAGTTATAAACAGCATCAAAGATATAATAAAAGAAACAGTATAAATCAATTTTAAAATTCTATTTTTACATCAGCTATTTAGATTATGAATTAATCACTCATGTGCAGCTTTTGTAATGTTTAATTTTTGTTAGTTTCATTTTTTTCCAACTGTATATTCTGTTTATATCTCTTCCTGCCACAGACAATCAGAAGCTATATTTTTGGATGTTCTCTAAAAGGTTCATTTACGATAATTTGATTTTACTATTTTCCTACCAGAATAAAATGATCCTAATGTTTCCTTTCTTCCAGAAAGCTCTGGCAGACTTTCCCCAGTCTGGGTAGGGTTTGTCCTGAAGCATCATATCAGTGACCTACAGGGAAAGAAGAAATAATACACAGTTAAACTGGTGTCACAAAAGAAAGTACTAACAAGGACTTCATGAACACTTTCTTTTACGTATGACATGCCTGCTTTGGTTCTGATAATTTTAATAGTTAGACAGTAGAAAAATAGTATCTCTAGTGTTACTTGCAATCAAGATAAAGTATATTAGCCCACATATTCTGCCCCTAGAAGTGCATGCAGCTCCTTGAGAAACAAGGAAACCTGTGGAGATCCAAAGATAAGAAAAGAGGAACTAGTCTAAAAGTTACAGCGACCTACAGTACAAAAGCTACGTTCCCCTATGGCTACAAAGCTTTCCGGTCCAGCCTGGGAGAAGGGACCCACTTCCCTGAGAGCAGCAGCAGCAGAATTTCCACTCTTGGAATCAGAACTACATCCAGAGAGTGCCTGTGAATTAAGCACTATAGGCCATTTATAATCTCCTCTTGCTTCCTGGTATCAGTAAGAAAAGCACACTTGGGACTAGAGACACAAAAATCCCTTAAAACTTGCAAGAAATTTAAAAAGTATGAAATATTTATTCTCATTTTCATAATTCCTATCTAAAGAGACCATCTGTTTCTCTGTCCAGAGACTCATATGCATGCACTACTTCTGGGTGGAACACAAAAGTATTAAAAATGACTTTCAGCTAAATGAGGGAGGTGAATACCCCTCAGGCGCTTGCACCTTTGGGAAGCTGTGTTTTCATATCCATTTACTTCAAGTTAACTGTACTAAAAAGCACCAAAAGTTACATTACAGTAAACTCATCAATTCCATTGTGCAAAAGATCCAGAAGAGTGGAAAACCTACCCATATGTAAAGATTAAGAAATAATTGAACAGATAAAGGAAATAAGGGTGAGCACCTGCTTCACAATACAGAAAAGTAAAACAAATTCTTACTATCTGTCATTGGTATCAGTACACAGTGGAAAATTACTGTTTTGATTAGTATGAAAATAACTCTTAATAAGATTTCAAAAGGAAGTAACTTCAAACTGAAGTCAAGATTTCTTGGTTTTATTTTCCACTACAATTATTTTGATAAAAAAGAGCTTTTAAAATCCAGTTTACCACCCAGAGTGCGAGCTACCACTTTCAATCAACAACATTAAGAGTGTATATCAAAAAGAACACGTGGCCCATGATTAAATTAAAACTACATATAAATTACATTCAACTTCTACATTGTGGTTCCATGTCCATTTGGGGTTAAAAGTGCTCAACGTATTAGCCTGAAGGGCTGGGTCCAAAGGATAACAAATATGTTAAATAAATAGACAAACACATTCCAGGATTTTATTGTTCCATTAAGCCTAGCCTGAAGAAAGAACAGGTTATAACCCGAAATAACATCTTTACTAATTGTTTTATGTAGGTAAATCTTTTCTCAGATCAGCATGCTATGACACTTTTTTGTAAGATCTCTATTATCTAAAGAAATATTTAAAAAAATATTTAATGCTGAGCAAGACCTCTGTAAAGATTTAATCCACTACTTTAGTAATAACTTTTTCTTTTAGGAAGAGTCTACATAGTAATGAGTATTTGCAAAGAAGAACAGGTATTTCAAGAGGTTTTATTCAATTTTCAGAATATTTTCTCCAGACACTTTCTGGGAAATACTTATTATATTTGGTAGAAGGGTGCAATCTGCTGCTCTATGACCAATTATTAGAGTGGCATGTTTCATAAGAATGACATTCAAGGAGGAGACATTTTCTGAGGAAAATGGCAAGACGAGGCAGGAAATGTTCTTTCTGATATCAGACAGTTGGTCTTTCATTTCTCAGCTTTGGCATTTATTTAAAGTCATATCACCAGATCAATGTCAGGTCGGTTGCAGCTAAATTGGCTGACGCAGAGACAGTCATTAAAGGGATGCATTCCATAAAGAGAAATCCAATTACCTTTTGCATTAGAGAAATCAAATTCATTTTCTGGTTTGGTCAAGGACAATCACTGTGGAAAACAGCTCACAGGAGAAAAGCACTCAACACTGTCAGAGTGCAAATAAGTTTTGGATAGGAACATCAAAACTCCATTGCTGCTGTTAGAATGATGTTTTTAGAAAAAGAGAAACATACAAATTTTAATTTAATTTGCATGAGTTAATATTAAGAGATGCGTGAGTGTGTATTTTTTTTCTCTTTCTTTGTATGTCACAATGCAATTATGGGCCAGCAAACAATTCTCTCTTTTTCACTGGACTATATTTGAAAACACTACGGATACTTAAGAATAAAAAATAATTGATCACTTCAGTAACTCTATGTATGCATGCATCCTACATAATCAAGATAAAACAGGGAAAGCCACTTACAAAGTAATTAAGTAATGTATTTTTTTTCTTGAACTAAGAGATGTGATATAATCAATTAATTACACTGCTTCAATTCAGAAAGGAATGGCCCCTATTTATAATGACTGTACAGTCTTTCATTTTATTTAGTGTCTCGTGAGAGAAATGGTTACACTGCATTAAAGTGCACAAACAAAACTGCGTAATACACACTGTCTGAATTTTTAAGTTACACACATGCCACAGCAAAATATTTTCATAAAAAATTAGTATGCCTTGTATATATTACAGAATCTTAAATTTCACTTTGCTAAATAAAAATATGACTTTATTGACTTCATATTATTCACTTCCCATTAACTATGAAGACAACTTACAATGCTTTTAAAAAGGAATATTACTATCATTAAATTAATAGTAAAATGTTACAATTCACCATTTTTGTTACAGAAAATTAAATTGTTCCTTTAGAGCTGATATACTATGACAATTTGAAAAATTATGTCATATCATATAGAAGAAAGAATCCAGGATTCAAAGTCATGTTCAGAGCAAGCAACTTACATAAACAAGTGCAGAAAGCAAAATTATGAAAACTCAAAACCCCCCAACAAAACAGTAAGATACCTGAGACATACTAAGTAGAACAGTAAGACACCTTAAGGGCCATTTACTCCTTACGTGTAGTTGCTCTTTGAGTGCATTGCTCAGGATGCTCAGCACATATTTTAGATCTCTCCTCCCTAGACAGTCATGTCAAACGATGCTATGTTGTAAGTCACAGGATCCCTCCCAGCAGAGGCAACATCTGCAGCAGGAGTTTCAGGTAAGCCTAACTATCTTTTCAATTAATAAGCTAACTGCAAGTGAAACTTTCTTTAAAAAAAGGAAGAAAATGACCTAATACTTTGGTCATGCCTTCAAAGTATCTTCCAAATTCTTCACTAGTAGGAACTACGCTGTCATCTTCAGAGTGCAAACTGATCATTCCTGGAAAACTAATGTGGCATGGGCTGCTGGCCAAGCTGTTTTCATCTGCCAAATTGCATTTTAGAAACCTAGAAGTACAAAAGTACATCAAATAGTTTCATAGTAGTGCTTCTCCACAGATGAAACTGCAGAAACTGTATCTTGAAAGAGAAATGGACTCTGGACAAGCTCTCTAGGATGCCATGTATTCCATGCTGTAACATTCATTAAGTAGAGACCAACCCTTAGTGGAGGATTTTCATTGCTTTACTCACATGTGGATAAACCATCAAAGCAAGGTAAGAGCAGCCCTCCAGAATTTAACAGAATGTAGAGGAAGCCAAGATCCACAAGAAAAGCCTGGAAATACAAACCAAATGGTGAACTCTGAAATCTTTTTTATCATTTTGATAAAGCAATGAGCAGTAAAAGGTCTAACGGACAGTAGGACTCCAACATCTTATATCAGTAAAGAAGTTGTTCATATACAACTACTCATCCAGGAGGACAAGACATCATGGTGCTATTGCTGAAAAATGGAGCAGCCTGAATAATTCTGCATTTGGCAAAATACATATTTCTACCACTGTCAAGTACATGATTCAAGTATTGTGTTATTTTTTTCTATTTTTATCATTTTACAGTCTCAAAATATCTAATTTTAAATCATAAGCCTCTTCATAAGTAGCACTAAATTAATTTAATTTGAAACTCAGCCTTTAAATAGTTCATAAGTAGCACTTTTCCACTCTCCCTGAACTGTTTACACGAGAAATGTTATTTTCAGTCCTGCAACTGAGGAATTTAATTGATGAGTATCATAAATTCTAAAAGTGTTCAGAAATTGTATGGATGCCATAGTGTCAGGGCATCTTTTGGTATCTTTTGCAAAGACTCAACACTCTTCTTCTAGAGAGTGGGGCTAAATCAGGTTAAAGTAATTATGTTTTCTAAAATCAGAGTGTGAAGTCAATGAGAGCTAATGGACACCGCTGAGTGCAAACACTCCCTTTCCTTTGCTGTTATGTGCTTTTAGGTACGAGCTATATATAGGTGTCCCACTAACTACACATCAATTCTTTATCATATCTCAGTCTTCAAGTACTATACTACATCATGGTAATCATATACCAAACCAGGGCAACATTTAGTATTCAGTCATTAAAAGCTTCTATCCATCATTTTTGTCTTCATCTTGAGATATTTAAAAACTGCAGAGCTGTTCACTTGATGTACAAAAGTAACCTATATGGAAAATGCTTTTATGCTTCTTTCATCTGGATGTTAGGTAGAAAACTGCCTTCGGTGGATCATACTTCAACACTTCTATGGCTTACACAATGATAACATGAAATGCCTCCTTTAATTATGAAATTGCTTTGGCAGCTGAGCAGAAGTGTCGAAAACTTTGTTACACACCCTTCAGAAATAACTGTTATTTTAATCCACTCTGCTGCATTTTGGAATATACAAAAAGTGTAAATGTTCAAAAACAAATGTAACAAATATTTGCACTTAGGCTTACTGATCTATAAGGGGGATGATATTTTTCAAACTAAATATTAAGTCAGCTGGAAACACACTGCTAGATTTTAAAGTAGTTTTGTCTGCTTTCTACATTTTCAAACATTCCTAATATAGTTTCATTCCTATCCTGAAAACAATCAAGCTGGTGTTAGGTTATTTCTCCTTCAATTTAATTGTAAGAAA